AGAAATATAAATGCCATCCGACAATTGGTTTTCGAGGTCCAAGCTTCAAAAGTTGATGAATCACGCGCTAGTAACGAGAGTCGAGACGTCGAGCTATACAGTATATGTATAAGGAATATATATGTAATATGTATACATATGTCAGAGGCTTCCGCACTCGATCCGTGAATCGCGTCTCTCTTAAACGGGTCTTTTTGTCGCGGGTGAGTGCGTGATTAACGGCACGATCGATTAGAGAAATTAAGGCTTTATCGTGTCGCTCGGCGATTGGTTTAATTGAATCGCGCATCCGCGCGCGCCGCGCCCCGATTCGTCAGCGTCTTAGCCTTCACGTTTCCCGAACGGCAATCGCATTCACCTTCATGTTTCTGCACGTGCACAGACCGTAAACGAACGATTCGTAAATAACTTGGTGCCCGCGAAAAATCCTGTGTCTAGTTATCGAAATATACGATGGCAGAGGAGTGCCACGTGATCATTGAGGACGCATTAATTGCCCGAGGGAAACGCCTCCTCGCGAATCTTGTCTTTTGCCGCAGTTCATTAAGGTCGTACATAGTTGATTCTAATGCGGCGAATAAATCTGTCCGACTCCGAGACTGGCCGCCTCTGCCTTCTTGGCCATCTGAGTCAACGAGACCCACGCGGAAGTCCTCCGTGGACTCGTCGCGTTTCTCACTTGAATATCCTCCTTTCCGATCGCAACGTGCTCATTGGGCCGCGCCTGTAGAAATCGATCCAAACACGTCGCGAGGATCAAGGCGATTCTTATGAAACCGGATAGGACATAGGCTGCATCTACAAAAGACTGGTCGGCGCATCTTGGTGCTTGGGGCCGTTTATCGAGCCATTCTTACCACCTTGCATGGACTTCCTTTTGTCTGACTGGCCCAACCTGATCGCGGGACGGTTATCGGATGCGGGCCAATAAATTAATAAACACTTTTTTGGCTGCGGGGGAGATCGAGGGATCGCGATATTAAACGTTTATTAATTTATTTTTTTCGTTTATTAGCCGGCGTGGTCCGCGCCGGTAATCAGGGATCTGTAATTAGTTGAACATGCTGTCTGTCCGTGGCGATTTATGCTTTTGGCCCTGAGGCCGCCGATCCCTTCGATTCTTGTACTCCCTTGGCGATGTTATTTGTCGAGAGTCCAGCTACAACTTCGACTTCAATTTCGGACGGAGTTTCTTTCTTCGA